TTTTTCATTCATTGTCCAACGAAACACAATCTTAACATAGAATCTTAAAAAGAAACAAACACCCACAAAATAAAAACAGAGACGGTGGATTTTTGAAAGAAAAACAGATCTGGATCTGATGGAAGGAACCCACCCACGGGATCAAACTTCCACCATCTCCTTCACCATTTTCCTAACAAAAATCCTATGTTCAGAGCTATACCTAACAATGGGAACCAAAGATGAAATCCCTCTTGCAACTTGACAATCTCCTTTCTCAAACAGTCTCCTTCCAGTAAAAGAAAAAAAACTTTCCTCTCCTCCACCGTCAACACCACACTCAAGCAAGCAAAAAAAATCTCCCTTTCTTCTCCCTTTACTACTCTCAAAAATCAGACGGAGACTCCCAAATCAACTTGAAAATCAACCGAAGACCCCCCTCAACTCCAAAAGGAACCCGAAAATCAACCAGCCAAATCCCCACAATCAAACTCCAAAATCAACCCAATCACTCCAAAACCTTACCAACCACAGACCCCCCTTTTTCAATCTGATTTTTTTCTATATATACCCAAACAATTCAATAAAATAAAATAAAATAACACAAATAAAAACTTCCTCAGATGCCAATTTGTCCGGTATTGTTGTTTTTTGTGCATGTGAGGCAACGATGGGGCTGTAGCAATCAGCGGTGCAGAGGCGCGGGATTGGGGCGAGGCGCGGTGTGCAGGGCTGGTGCAGGCTGGGGCGTGGAGTGCTGATGATGGCTCGGGCGTGCAGGGGCAGAGTGCAGAGGCGCAGAGTGCAGGCGATCTGGGCGCAGCAGAGTGCAGGCGATCTGGTGCAGAGCAAGGGGATCTGGTGCAGAGCAAGGCCGGTGATGGCTGGCGAGCAGGGCAGGATGCAGGAAGCAAGGCGGGGCGTGTAGGGGCTAGAGGCGCAGGAGCTAGGGGTGCTGGTTCGTGCAAAGGATCTGAGCTGGTTCGGGAGGAGAGTGCAGGCGTTGGCAGCAGGGGGCGCAGGCGGTTGGGTTGGTGCAGAGCAAGGCCGGTGATGGCTGGCGGGCAGGGCAGCTTGCAGGCGGCAAGGGGCTGGTTAGGGAGAGAGAAAAGTAAAAAAATAAAAGGTTTAATACCTAATTTGGTCCCTAAACTTTCATTTCAGAACTTAGTTCGTCCCTTAACCTCAAAAAGCACTCAAGTCATCCTTTAACTTTATTTTTCTATAACCCAAATGGTTCTTCCGTTGACAGACTGCAAACGTGGCACGTTAAGTGTCCAACAATTATCACTTTCATTTTTTATAAGCCTATGTGGAAAAAACAACTCAAGCAATTGATTATTTGGCATCAATTTTTATTCCACGTTTGATTTTTGTCCCTCCAGCCTTCTAAATAAAACAAAATAGTGGGGCAAACATGTCATTGTCTCCTTTATCGATGCAAACTCACCTCCCCCTTCCAGATTCTTCACTTCACTCTCTTTCCTTTTCCCCTTTAACCCCTAGATCCTTTCCTCTTCGAAAACCCCTAAATCTTCTGGTAATAACCGGCAACCATTCCTTCTTCTTCTTCAACCCATAAATCCTCTGGAACTACTCTTGATTCTTTCTTCTCGAAACCCTTGATTCCAAGTCGGATCTGTTGGCAGCGGCGTAGGTTAAGGAGAACAAAAACAAAGGCGTGAGGTTTCAAGAGGTCT